TAACGGGCTTCCATACTTCAGTGTCACATGATCATTCAGAAATCATTCTAATTTGCTGATTTGTTGCTCGAGTACACTTCCTCTTATTATTATCATCATCAATGTTAAAAAGAGTTAGCTTAATTGTTTTTGTGGAAATCGTGATACTTTTTTTTACATTCAGTTTTTTCAAAAACTTTCTTTGTTCTCATAAAAGAGCCTGTATTTGACAAAAAGTAAAAAAAGTAAAAAAAATAATAATAATCAAAATTGGCAACACACAAATGTCAGATCGACTTTATAGCTGACTGTCCGTTTTCACTCTATAAACAGAAAAAGTAAAAAAAATAATAATAATCAAAATTGGCAACACACAAATGTCAGATCGACTTTATATAAAGTTTAGCTGACTGTCACATTGTAATTCCCAGAATCCCAGAAATGTCAAGCATGGACCACATTGTTAAAATAAATAAATAAATAAATAACAAAAATTAAAAACACTGTATCAAAATATGTGGAGTCATAAAGGGTGGCTTTGAGATAAACCGAGAATATTAAACACAGTCTGAAATGGGAATGGTTGGGCAGCTCGGAACAAATCCATAAAGGATCTGAAATGGCATGCCAGATGAGTGCCACATGATTCAGCAGCTGACACGAATTAAATCAAGGATGAATCCGGACGACTGCTGTTCACCTCACAGAAGGTTCTGTAGCCTTCAACGATGGGCTGGTACCCCGTGCATCTGCATAAATTACCTGCAATAAGAACATTCATGTTTGATCATGACTGAAAGTCTTATTATATGTGTCTGTGTATTTAAGATGGTGTATGTGGCGTCGTACCAGCGAGACCCTCGGTCACGTCCTCCATGGTGGGCTGTGGGTTATTTCTAAGTAATGTGTACATGGACATCACCATCCCAGGAGTACAAAACCCACACTGAGACCCATGAGCCTTTGCTATACGCTCCTGATGAAGCAAGCATACTGTCAATGATGCATAAACGTGTCCACAATAATATTATACTGAATATTTGTTTGTTTTTTTTAATTATATTTATTTTTAACTTAATCGTTACAATATATTTTTCAAACATCAATGTCATTGTTTTGGGGAGTCACACAGCATATTAAAATATTAGATTACAATTATATTTTAATTGAATTGAATATTTAAGAATGTATTAAACTTATATAAAAAATTAACTATAAATATTACAATTATAATCAAATGTAAAAAAAAAATTATATTATGTAATATTTTTTGATAATAATAATAATCATGCTTTAATTATTAATCAGACTTGCAATTATAACTATAAATCCAAATTATATTTTATAATATTTTAATATTTTTTTATTTAATATATATTTTACATTTGTAAAATGTCAAGTGTCCACAGATATTATGCTGATTATGCATACACAAACAACTTAATCATAAAGTTTTGCAATATATTTTTGAAAGATTTTATTTTTAAATTTGTTTTGCAATATATTTTTGAAAGATTTTATTTTTAAATTTGTTGTTTTTGAGTCGCACCACATGACATTTTACTAACAGAAATATGACTTATCTATAATTCACCATTATTATAATATATAAAAATTATTTTGATTATATTGAAATAAAAACAAAAAATATATTTTTCATTCAAGTCATTTTACATATAAATTGCATTTAAATAATTTTTTTAATTAATAGATAATAAAAAATGTTTACATCACTGACCTACATACAGGAGTGAAAGAGAGAAAATCAAGTCATTATCAGATAATTTAATCTCATAATATGGAGTGAGTGTAATCTATATTATAAAATCATATTTGAATTGACCGCACTCTAATATATTAATCTGGATTGAAGGTAATCTAGATTATAATCCGTCTGAAAACTAAAGTCATGACCTGGATCTCATAATCTGGATTGGGCATAATATAGATTCTAATGTGAATCTGTTACCTGGACTGGGTGTAATTTGGTTTTAGTGCTTCCAATGCCTTCAACGGTGGTCACAGCTGCTCCGTGAAGTTGGCACACAGGAAGCAGACAGGCATTGACAGACCAATGACTGGCCAGGGAAAAAACAAGCATTTAATACAGATTTCTATCAGATGTGCATAACAAAAACTAATTAATAAATAAAAGTGTAAATATATTAGCAGCATGCCTATCTTCCTTAAGAAAAAAAAAGGAATCTCACTTAAAAATAACGTAGAATTTAAGTTTAAGGAGAAAGAGAGAGTGAATGTAATACTTGATGTTCTTGGTCTGAGGGTCGTATCTGGACACCATGACGGTACAGGCTCCACATCCTCCTCCACCACAGCCATACTTAGTGCCTGTCAGCCGCACTGTGCACACACACACACACACACACACACAGAGAGAGAGAGAGAGAAAGATTCAAAATGCAAAACTAAAAAAAGTTAAATTAACCCAGTAATATTTGTAAATACATAATCTCCTCTTGAAATGAACTACGATAACACTTCATAGTTAACATTAACCAATCTTATTACATTACATAAATATAATTTATAATATATATAATCATAAAATACGATACACACACACACACACACACACACATATATAAGCACAACACAAAAAAAGAACAACCATTAATAATAATAATAAATTATAATGTTGTTAATGTAAATAATAATTATAACATTGTTAATAATTCATTTCAATATTATTGTTATGAATGGTTATTCATTTTTGTACATGTATTTATTTTTTCCGTTGTATAATTAAAAATCATAAATTGTGTGTGCCGAGCTTCGTTCATCACTTTTCCGTGGTTCTCTGTTCCTGAATTTTTCGTTTTCGTTTGGGTTTGTCTTGCTGACAGGCTTTTAAGAGTGCATGGCAGACTGAATTGCTGTAGTTTGCAGTGTTTCAGTTTTATTTGTCCATATTTACCACCAGATGGCGCCAGAGGCATAAGTGCAACTTTTAAATCTGGCTATAAGATGGCGCCAGAGGCCGATGCGTAATTAAGGAATCTGACCACTAGATGGCGGTAGAAGCAAAAATAATAAAACTACCAATACCGGCTGTGCAGAAAGTGACATTTTTCCAGAATCATCCATACATTTAACAAAAAGACTAATACAATGTTTCAATGTCGTTTTTTCCACTTGTACACACAATGTTTCAATGTTGTTTTTTCTACTTGAACACTCCACATTTTAAACTATACGAAAACACATATTCACAACAGTTCTCCCTCAGGACTATAGATAGAAATGTATTTTCACTGTTAATGAACCGAAGAATGACAATAAATTGAGTTTGCCCACTGTCTCTGTTTTCTGAGGCTGTTGGAATAGAACACACACACACACACACACACACACACACACACACAGGAACCCTGCTGTGACCCCCTGTGAAGTGTGATCAGGGAACCCCTACAGAGATTATCACAAGTTAATACCCTACACAGTCAGAAATCTCTCCCCACAGGCATTCAGGATTAGCTAAAATGCTAACACACATACAAAACGTGCACATATGCAGCTATGCACAACAGACACCACTGAGACAAACATGTCAATAAACTCAACCGCTCACACACAAAGGCATTAAATGCAAAATTATGTCACTCACAGGTACTAATTCGCGAAATTAGTAGATTTAAATGATGAGGCGTTTTAGAACAAAAAGGTCTCCATTCAGTCAAAACCCGTTTGAATGTTTGAATGTTACTCGACTTTTGAGCCACCGAGCTTCGTTCATCACTTTTCCGTGGTTCTCTGTTCCTGAATTTTTCGTTTTCGTTTGGGTTTGTCTTGCTGACAGGCTTTAGAGACGTCTATTTGACATCTGCATTTACATCTGCAAGACGTTTTTTTTTTTTGAGTTTTTGCTCATCTGTAATATGTCTATAGGATGTTTCCTATCAGATGTCAAATATACATTTAGAAAATGTCTAATGTCTGTTAAAGATCACTTCATCTGGAAAGCATCTGCCGTGTACAAACATATTATAGACATCTTTAAGATGTCAGTTTTACATTCATTCTAAATCATAAACATCTTAAAGACATCGTCTAAACATCTATTTGACATCTGATAGGAAACGTCCTATAGACGTATTGCAGATGATCAAACACTCTGACACAAATGTCTTGCAGACGTCAAATAGATGTCTCCGTGATGTAAGTGTGTTACAATGGTTCATTTCTTTCTAAAAGAAATTGTTTTGTTTGTGTTGTATCAGTCCAAATGGGTTAATGAGTAGTTCTGTACTAAGGCATTGACTTCAGTTGAGGGACAGTGGCAAAGGTTAAGCTAGACTCAAGGTTACACATTGCTAATCATGGTAATGGAATGTTTACTTTGACTCGACATGACCAAGAGTCTTCGATTTCTTGACAATCATGGCTAATGGCTCACTTCAGCAACTGTTCTTTTACTACTCTGAGTTTTAGCCACTGCACTACACCACCTAACCTCGCTAAAATATGTCTCTGAATCACTGTCACAAGTAGCAATTGCATTGTTCACAAGCATGACATTAGCGCAGTAGCATATCTCTCACAGTATCAAGCTAAGTAGCAGCGTAGCATGACAATTCTTTTTGAAGACTCATTACACAGCATCAATTCAGTGTACAGAGCAGCTGTTAAACGAGCAGATCTACCGAGCTAATGTACATTATACAGATTTTTGGATCAGAAATTTGCCATATTTGTGGACAAACGTCTAATTAGCATCTTTAAAGAAACAGATTTGCATACATTTATTTCATAAAGACCACAGAAACATTCATTGATAGTTCATCATGAAACAATTTAGCAACATTTTGTAAATTACCAAAAAATAATAAGCAGCTAGCTACATTTCCAAGTAGCTTAGTCACCTCTTGCCAATGTTAAATGCAAGGAAGTTTATAAAACTTAGAGAAAGCTATACATTAGTATTTCTCATGGCAACATGAAACTATTTTAGCTAATCACATGAACTGTAAATGCCATATGACAGATTCTTCTGAAGGCATCACTAATTGTTTGATAAAATCAGGCACTGGTAAGACATCATCTTTAATGCAATTAAATATTTGTGATTCATATGTTGTAGGCAAAAAATAATGGCACATTTTAAATGTCTGTCAGTGGAGAAAGATGCTAACCATGCTAAAGGTAACCAGCAAAACATTGGCCTACAGGGCCTCATTTATGAAACATGAGCAGAACGAATGCATGTCATCCATAAATCTATTAGTACTGTATGTAAATTGTCATATTAAATTAGATGTTTAAACAGTTTTACAAAATATTTACACAGATGTTTTGCACAAATTTACACAGATACAAATTCTGTATGTGAATCTTGAATAAGGCCTAATGGATGTACAGTACAATGCAAAAAAATATATATTTTTCTCTTTTGTCAGTTTTTTTTTTTTTTTAATTAACAAATTATTTATTCAGTTTTTTCCCTGTTTGGACACCTTTGAGATATGGAGAGGTTTACGTTTCTCATAATTCCCACTGAGTTGATGTCCATATTTGGTCACTGCCTTGTACGTGTAGGGTGCTAAACATGTACTCTTCCTCTATTTCTTTTGTTTTTCTCCATCCCATCCCCCTTTTTATGAACAGAAAGACACACATCTGCTTTCCATCACACCTTTGCAGCTATGACTCGCTCTCTTGTATTCCTTTCATCTCTGTCCAGTTTCTTCACTCACTATCTTGCTTATACCTTTTGCTCTTTATTCATCATATTTTCTACACCTTCTTTCTGCTTTTTGTGAAGCCAGTAACTTCTGTAATCACCACCCTGGATCTGTTAACTGTGTTTAAGTGAGTGTGTTTGCTTACTTTGTGTGTGTGTGTGTGTGTGTTTACTCAGGTCTTACACTCACAGACTAAAGCAGCGGAGATGCTGACAGAAGCAACCTACTGTTCGGCTAGTCACAGTCTTGCACAGGACCTTCGTGAACACAGTTACAGTGGATTCTGTCAATATAGATAAAGAAATAACCTCTCCACCAGTCTTTTGATATGTATGGTCAATTTTAGGATTGAATTTACTGTACCATATACCATTCTTTGGCTGAACAAGTATGATTGGTTGAGCCAATTTATCTTTTTCCGGCCTAGTTGGGACGTCAAACAGTTTGCAATTTGTTTGGTGCTGCTTGTGCTGCATAAATTGCACATCTTGACTTTAGTTGTCCATGTTTTTCCCCACGTTTAGAACCACATGCTTCAGTCCATTATTATCTGAGATACAGCTGCCTATTAGTCATGATAGACTGAAACAAAGAACGTCCTGTTTATAGGCTGATCAATTCGACATGCAGGCGATTTGCTCAGCCGAACTAGTGTCATTCAAAATAGACTCATAAAGGCCATGCATACACACATATACTGTACATATACAGTACACACACACTACTATTGTAGTTTTTATTAATATTTTGAATAACATTTTTTTTATTTTCATTTTAATTTGTTAGTTTTAGTGATGTTGTTGTGTATTTTTGTACTTTTGATGTTTTTTGAATATGTTAATTTAGTTTATAATATTTTTTTATTTAGATTTATTTATTTTAGTACATCAAGTTAAACAAAATGGAAATAATAAATAAAAATAATTTTCATGTTTATAAAAAAATATATATATATATATATATATATATATATATATATATAGTATTAGTAATTTTGCTGTCAAGTCTATTTTTTTTATTATATTCTACAGTTTAAATTATATAGGTTAAAATAATTTTGAAGTTTTAGTTGTTCTAGTATACCATGTTAAACAAACTAGAAACAAGAAATTTAAAAAGAAGCACTTTTTTATATTATATTTTATATTATTACATGTTTTTTTTTATTATTTTAGTTAATTGTAATAACCCTAATATATATATATGTAAACATTATTACATTGTAAACATGATTAAATTAATCTTTTCTACACTTGGTAAGAGTAGTGCTTTTGCATGATGCTACATCCACATCAATAGGTGGCAGTATACATTTCAAGATGGTCTCTAAAACAAAATTGTTCTAAATATTTCTCAATTAAAGCATTTCTAACTTTATTAGCTTGTAATCATATTTGTTATCGTTATATAATTCTAAGTAAACTATTTTAGAATCTAGATTTTAACATGCAGTAGCCTATGCTTTAAGTATGATAGCTAGTAATAGCAAGCCTTTCTTCAAAAACCAGCATGATCTGAGGTATCATTTATGTACTTAGCACAAATTGTGTTGACAAGTCAAATCAAAGTTTAATAAATCAGTTTAAGGGTTTGTTCAGATCTCTAACCCCAAGTATTAGCAACAGAGGTGATGCTTAACTTAGCAAACACCAATTAAAAGATGTTAGCATTGCTACGCTTGCCTTTGTCAGAAACGTTCAGGCACACAAAGAGGCTGAACTTGCTTACTTCAGTAAGCAAATGAGGGTTCTTGGCCATTGTCAGCAGTGCGGCAAACGGCCGGCTCGGGACGGTCCCGAGGGAGCTAACATTTGCAGTAGCCTTTGAAAGGTCCCGCAGAGAGAGGTTTCTCTTTAGCTAGAGAGGATCGCCAGGGGGACACTTAGCTTTCATTACTTCCTGAGAGAGAGAGAGAGTAATGCACTTCAATGTTACATAAACGGCCTCAGGAGCACCTTCTAGGTATCAAACCTCTCTTTTATGGGGAAAAAGGTTGAATAGTATTTAATGTCCTTTTCTAGGAGGAGGGAAGTGTTCTGTGAAGCTTTATGGCTTGTGAAGGGAAGCCCGTATGTGTTTTAGTGCAGTTAGGCTGACGTCTTGATAAGACTTGTCGTGTTTAAAGTGCCTTGTTGTGCTGCATTCTAACTGATTGAACTTTTGTTTGTTGGTGTGTGGATAAAGTTTTAAGTGGTTTTAAATGGTTTCTTTTTCTAAAAGGCAACATCAAGGTTTCCACTTTTGAACAATAAATTATTGTTTGTTTTGAAATGAAAATGTGCATTTATGTAATATATTTATATAAATATATAAATGTACATCTATCTATCTATCTATCTATCTATCTATCCTTTATAAAGTTAGTTATTTAAAATATAGAAAACTTTTTATATTAGTTTTTATATTAATGTGTAATATTTCAAAGCACATTTTTCGTATTTTTAGCATTTCATTGGTTCACATTTTTGTAAAGAATAGTACATTCATATAAATAAATGTATGTATAAATTCTAAAATATTAAACATAAAAAATGTTATATATTACATTCAAATTATACATTACAAATGGCAATGTAATGTATAAAAATGTTGGCTGTATTCTGAAGCGGCTCAGAATACAGCCAAACGCGCAGTCTTTCAGATTCCATTCGATATTTTCGTTCAGAAAGATAAACTTAATTCAAAGGGAAACAAGATTGGTTTTCAATTTTTTTATGAACAATTTAGACTGCCATTCATTTTGTTTTTGTTTCATAAGGCCTAGCACAGGGCTATTCAATTAGTTTTATTTGAGGGCCGGATTGTTGAACTGAAATTTTGAAGGGGGCCAAGGGGGTGGGTGGCTGTCCCTATCTCTTTCTGAGGGGCCTATAAAATTAGAAATTACATTTCTATAAAAATATATAATATTATCAACACCAACATCTATTAAAGGTTAACATTAGTGCTGTCTGTGAATCGATTATAATAATAATAAAAAACTAATTATTCACACATTTTTCTATAATTAATTGTAATTAACTGTGTATTAATATATTTATATTGTCATAATTTCACATTGAACCTCCAAATTAATGTAGAAACAATATAAAGATGGTTTATTTTAAATATGTGTTTAATGGCATCTTTTTACTAAGTAGCCTACACTGAAAAAAGTGAAACTACTGTGTTGTTCATTTAAAGTGCATTTTTACATTGGACTAAGTGAAAATCATGGTTTCTGGTTTAAACCTGTTTTGTTCAGTTTGCCTTAAAGCAAATAACGAACCCCCTAGAACAAATTAAAAGCAACAATTTGACTTGAGTAGTATTTTTACTTTAAACCAGAAGTTTTCATGTCATGTGACCACATGACGTCACATCAACTAACTCCTTGTTCGCGCCAGCCGGCGTTTTGCCATCCGCCATTTTAAGTGAACTTAAAACAATCTTCACATAAACCAGAAATTGTATATGCATAAATTAATCTTTATTCAAGCTACAAAACTTCAGCGACTAGCTCTTAATCAGCTACTAGAACAGTCGAGTGATTTCTTTTCTTTTTTTCTGTGATTTACATCAATGAGACTTCATCAGATTTCACTTTAAAAGCAGCGCTGTCACTTTAAAATCTGATGCACATGACGCATATCTGACACACATCCGATTTTCTCCCAACTCTTTACGATCATTTAAGACTTTATAACTCATTTAAGACCGTGTTTACGAGGTCACTCGCCAAAACCCAGCATTTTGACATAATTCTATTTTTGTCCATTGAAGCGCTACTGGCGCGCTGTCTGAAGCGGCTCAGAATACAGCCAAACGCGCAGTCTTTCAGATTCCATTCGATAATCATCTTCGTCCAGTGTCTGCGCTATTTCTCGACAGAAGTTATGACAGACAACACTGCCTTTATACTCCTTTAAACTAGAGTTGTGGATATGTCATAACCCCCTCACACAAGCGCTTGTCAGCGCTACCATTCATTGATGTTAATTTGCGATTGTTGCTGTTGTGTCTCTCATCCTTTTCTTTTGCGGTTGTGAAACAACGGCCCAGGCCAGTGTTGCCACCTTGTGGACAAACTAATTAGTGCAAAAACAATTCAAGGTGTAATGTGCGACCTGCGCTTAGGCTACTCTCCCCTCCGGCCGGCTGAAGATGAATGGCGGGCCGGATGTGGCCCGCGGGCCGCTAATTGAATAGCCTTGGCCTAGCTTTTATTTTCCCTGAAATACAGCACGTTAAATGGTAATGTCGCATGCTGCCTTTGTTCTCAATGCTACCTTTGTTAACATATTTGAATCGAATGCTATTTCATACTGTTGACCCTTTTAACCCTCAAATACACACTTACATTTAGCTCTCTTATTTGCATTTATTTAGGTCAGAAGAAGAAGCAACTAGAGTATATAAGCTTGTTACGAGCTGCCCTGAAGAAGTGTGTAAATGTAAAGCCCCAGAGCGGAGCTCTACTGGGTAACTCAATGTATGTGCTTTCTGACAGACTCGTTAATCTATAGAGCTGCTCTGTACGGCTCAGAAATAGGTCAGAGCTGAGACTAGGGTTTTATGCGAGTATGTAATATGTGTGTGCGAGTGTGTTTCACCTAAAGGTGCATACAACATTGCATCTGCACTATGGTTGTCATTACAGAAGATTAAAATCACATTGCTTGAACCAACTGTGATTTCATGGATAATATTTCATTCAGTTGGTCCAAACATCCCATTGTGTGAGCCATGTGCTCTCTTAAAGATGCAGACTGTGACTTATGTGTGGTGTGATGTAGTATTTAAGAGGCTGACATGTGTTTGGAACTAGAAGCAACAAGCTAGCTAGACGCAAAATAGGTTTTTATTTGTGAATATGATTGGTGCACTCTGCAAAAAAATAAAAAAATAAAATAAACAAAAAAAAATATTTCCAGCTCAAGTATCTTAATATTCTTAAAATAAGATTTACTTAAGAAGCAAAATGACTTAAGTCTGTTTGAAAATTACATTGTCTTTTTTTTTTTTTTGAAGGAAAAAAAACCCATCAAAATAAGTGTTCATGCTTAAAACAAGAAGAAAAATATCTGCCAACTGGGTCTGAAAAATAAACCTAATTCAAAGGATAAACAAGATGCTTTTTCAAGATTCTTTATTTGTACTGGAAAACAAGACTAAAATAATGAGGTTGCAAGGTTGTTGCTAGGTGGTTGCTAACATGTTCTTAGTTTGCCATTAAGTATCTAGGCTAATCTGGTCTTGAGCTCAGATCCTTCTGTAAATGTTAAGTTTATTGGAATTTTGCCCACATTATCCACCAATTGAATACTGTGGTTTGATAGCTGATAGCTAATAATTCATTAAATCAAATGTAAAATTAAGATAAAGAAATGGGGTTGCACAATTAATTGAAATAAAACTGAAATCATGATATAATATATATGATATATAATATATATAAAATGTGTGCAATGTGTGTTAGCAGGTTCTTCAAATCACTGAAGGTCCCATATTGTCAAAACTGAAATTTCCTGGCTTTTTTCATGATAACTGAGGTCTAGGTGCTATGTAACTACCATATAAATTTCAAAACAGTCAATCCACAGTCAAATGCACACAGCCTGCATAAAGTAGCTGTGATTTTTCACGAACCGTTGTGACTTCCGTAAAAAGGTGACGTCAGAACTACTCAGTCACCGCCTTCAGTCACCACCCCGAGCACTGCCCACAGTCCCACTCTCCTTTTGCCAAATCCCCAGACAAGATCTCGTCCATGCCATTGCTGAGCAACAACAACATGGAAACATGTCGAGAAAACGCTGTTCAGTCTGGATGTCAGGAAACTACATCACTGCATAGTAGGGCTGTGACGGTCGCCGTGACAACCACGTCAACCGTTGACTATGGCCACCGTCGGTAGTGCACGTGACGTCACACACTCTATAACAAGCATAATACAAAGTTTTGTATACAAGTGTAATAATAGTAACAGTTCGTTTGATCCTTTAGATTGGCAGGTTTGAGCGCAGGAAAATACAGTACAGAATACAGAAACCAAATACTACATCGCCAATCTGGAATCATTTCCATTCATTTCACCCATCCGCATTTGTACAAGTGTCGTCAAGTTCACATGATCGCAAACGCTCGGCTGGTCAGGTTTTTATTTACTGCATTCGATGTTTGAAAAAAAACAAAACATGAATTACCATTCTGAAACATCCTGTTGCAAGAGCGTTTGAGGAGGTGGTTGGTTGTCTCCTGTTGTCGCCGATTCGGGGTCTGAGGCTTAAACATGTCCGGACAACATTTCCCTCAGCAGTGACCATCATTACCGGTGTTTTTATTGCCCTTACTTGTAAGTATCACCAATCCACAGCAGGCTACTGCATACATGACCCTAGTTACCTGTGGTTGGCCTGGCCGTGCGTCACTCAGAAAACAACAGGCCAATCAGAAGAGAGGCTCATGAATATTAATTAGACAGGCCAAAATCGACCTGTTCTTTGCAGAGCTCCTGAGAGAGGAGCTGTATAAATATATTGAGATGGTTGGTTGTTGGTACTTATACCGCAAATATACATTCTTAAGGACATCAAGACTTAAATAAAACTCCAGAAAGTTGTCAAATATGTGACCTTTAACCCTCAGTATCAGCAACAAGAGAGAGAGAAAAGCGAACATGATAAAGAGCACCCTTGATCTGCAGGAAGTCATTTTATAATTGAGATTGTACGTCTGGAAAATATAGCAGCTGTCTTCTGCAGCGTATTTGTGGTTTAAATATGTCTGTGAGGCCAGACTGCTGTTGACGCTGTTAAAGATCAAACACTATAAGCAAACACAGAGCCTGATAGTCCACGATCAAAGCACGGTGCACCCCAGTCAACATCGTAAATACACAGATGTGAGCACTCACACTCTTACATTCATACTGAGATGCTCTGGATCTTGTGGTTGTGATAAAACACTTCACTGATGAAATATTCTCAAATGCTTTGATGCATAATTCTATTGTTCTGCCTCTTTAGTAAATTTTACAGGGTCTTCCAAACTCACAGTTACATCGGACCATGATACTTCTGAAGGCATGTTCCGGGTTCAATACAAGTTATTTATGAATATCTTAATATCTCTTAAAAATTAAGGTTCCAAAAGGAGGTTTTCACAACAATGTCATAGAATATCCATTTAGGTTCTCCAAAGAGCCTTTAGTGAACAGTTCTTAACCCTTTAAGGTAACTAACTGCTCTTCTTTGGAAATCAATGTCACATGCAATTTTTCTGTATGGCCTAAAAGTGAACAGTCCATGTCAACTTTTTGAGACTTCAAAAGACTTGTACAGTGTAGTCATGAATCACCTGATTGACTGTCACCTTTAGAGGCAAGTTCCTGTAAGAGGGGTCCCAGTCCGCCTCAAGGTCAAGACCCATTCTTGTTAAACATTATAGTCTACATTTGATCCAGGATTAAGTGGTGCCATTACATTTGGAGCTTACAAAACAGTATTGACCAATTTGTCCATGAATCATGGTAATGAAAACTATCATTTTATTTTCTGAAGATATTTTGAGAGCATTCAAACACACATGAACCTGGAGTCCATAACCTGCTGGTTTCCACCAAAACGTCTGACATCTGAATGAGGTTTTTTCAGACTACCGGTCTGATCTACACAAATAAACATGGTCGTTCTCACGGTTGGCATAACAATTCTGACCCTAAATCAACTTCGTCTCGGTCTTAGGAGAAGGACTTTAAAGTTCCAGACAGCACTGTAAATATTTAACAAATGTTAACCTAACAACCTATTAACCTTGAGTGTAACCTAACCTGAAGCAAACAAAACTAAAGTTAACCTCCTTTTATGCAAAGTTATTTACAAAAACATCTTTGTTTAATGTGGTTTGAAAACTTTTATGGCTTTTTTTTTGCAGAAGTTAGATTGTTTTCTATAAGATTTTACCTTTGCTTGAAGTATAGTTCTCAATCTGTAGATTGTCTGTAGAAGTTTGTTTTCGTACAACACTTTTTAAAAATGTTCTGTCCATGTTATATGCCGTATGATACATTTTTAATATATATATATATATATATATATATATATTATGTTTGCAAAGCCAAGGAGGGTGAGCCCTTTGTGGTGAAGGGTGAACAGAGGTCGTCTGCCAAACATTCACAGCCCAGATGAACTGTTTATAGAGATATGGAGGTTTTACCACGAAGGTATTTAAAAGAAAAGCAGCTACGATTTGATTTGGAGAACACAAACCAGCTGTTTTCTAGATTCAGCTGTTTGTTTCAACCAGCATGATTTGATTAGACTCATGAGCATTCTTAACATAGGATACAAATAATGTTAAACATTTTTAACACCATAAAGTTAACTTAGTTTCCGGTTGTTCAGTGGTTCAAAATACAAAAGGATTGCGATAACCTTCCAAACCACTTTTGCAGACATTTCCAGAAGGAATCAATGTATCTAAAATTGTCCGTTTATGAGTCAGAATTCAGAATTGACTGAATATGTATTAAAATTCATCTACATTGTAGATGGCCTGAGGGTGTTTCTTCATTGGAACAGATTTGGAGAAATGTAGCATTGCATTGCAAACAGCTTCTCACATCACAAGATGTTAACTGATGGACTGGAGTGGTGTGGATTACTTGTGGATTATTGTGATGTTTTAATCAGCTGTTTGTACTTTAATTCTGATGGCACCCATTCACTGCAGAGGATCCATTGGTGAGCAAGTGATGTAATGCTAAATTTCTCCAAATCTGTTCCCACGAACAAACAAAATCATTTACATCTTGGATAGGGTTGTGTATCGTTTGAATTTGACTCTAAAGAGGTACTTAGGGTTGGGTATCGTTTCAATTTTGTCAGTTCCGATTCTTTTAGATTCCAATGTTATTAAATTATGATATCAAACATTTATCCTGTGTCTCTTTTTTGCAAACCATTTACTGGAGCTGAATACCATGAACAAAAATCAACAGCCTACATAAAAACTGGACTCTTTAAGAGCTGTCTGTGTGCAAAATAGAACTGCATGATTCTGGATAAATTTAAAAAAATAAAATTCTTTTTTTTCCCCTCCAATGGAAGTTGTGGTTCTCTCTTGATTTTGAAGAAAAAACATTAGACAACTAAACAAAATCACATGTAGAAAAGGTGATTTACTCTATTTTAATCGCTACCATACACATCGTACACACAGTTTATATCTGAACTATAAACTTTTATTCCAGTATTTCTGTGATTTGAATGTTTGTATCACCGAAATAATGATACTGTGTGGCTGAAAAGACTGTGAGGCTTTCATTCATGACAGATGACAGCTGCTCTCTTTAGATCAATGGCAGCGCGAACGCAAATTTAAATTTTCAAATCACACTGGTGTGATCGTACGCTGCATGGATGAACCAAGTGGTCACAACATTGATCGCACACGTCAAAGTTTGAGGAATGAAACAGACGAATCATTGTAATTTAGGAATAGAATCACGTTGGTGTTTGAATCGTGTTCGCGATTTTTAACGATGTATTAAATTAAAGTGCTTTGTCATGTTGGTGGTGACGCCTCTCTTGCAACATGTTTAGCTATCACAGATATTACACTTAGCTTTTTTAGGCTTCTGATCGCAAATGTAGCCAAACTTTGGAGCGCTTAGATTAGCGAGCAAGGTCCTGGCATATCGCTAGGTCCGGTCCTCACAGAAGAAGAAAAAAAAGCACATAGGAATCGATAGGCGGAATCGAAATTTTAATTTGACAACAAGTATCCGATTCCTGACCTTAAGTATCTGATTCTTGGATGGCCTGAGGGACAACACATTTTCAGCCGATTTTCATTTTTGACTGAACTATTCCTTTAATGTTAGGATAAAGTTTTTAAAGAAAATCCAAAGGGAGGTAGAATAGCTTTGAATTAGATTAATAATTTAAGTTGTACAAACTATTAAACTGAGCAACATTTTGTGAACATGCTGTGTTTGTTTTAAATCGGTCATTAAACGCTAGTTGACTCTGGCCTGTTTTAGCAGTTTGTCAATGGTAGAGTGACCAAGCGACAGTTACTGAACGCAGTAGAGTTTCGGAAAGGAGAAACTCACAGAGTGCTGAAGCGTGAAAAATGGCCTCTTTCAGCCTAAGGCTGTGACACTTGCCAATATTCAGACCTTTAATGTGTATGTGTGTGTGTTTGGTGGTTCCTCTATATGGATAACTCTATAACTAGCTAAAGATGTACACGGGACAGTCCTGCTCCAGATTTGATCATTCAGTGTCCAACTACACACAGACTTACAGGAATTCATGCACACACAAGCTCATGGCAGAATTGGGAGTTCTTGGCACTGGTGGCTGGCCGAACTCAGTTGCCTAGCAACCAGGTGGCTCGTTGAATGAGGGATGTCAGGATTGTGCTCTATGTGTGTGTGTGTGTGTGTGTGCGTGTGTGAGAGAGAGAGTACAGAGTTTGCACTATATCCCCGAAGCATGCTTCACAATCAACATCTTTCCGACCGATCACAGCTTCTGCAATTGGCATCTGACGATTAACCACATAGTCCATCAATGCGAATGACGCTCTCAGCAGATCTATTCCTAATCCGCATCCTCCGTCAGTTTTCTAAGCTTGTTATTCGTGTATGTTGGCCTTAGAGTTCAGAAGCAGTTCAGAAGCACCTACACTGAAAAAAACATGGTGTAGAAACAATTTTAACTCAGAAATTGTTAGTGAGTTTCACAAATAATTACAAAGAAATGGCAAGGGCACTGAAAAAAAAAACTTTTTGAAGTTGTAAATAAATCAGTGATTAGTGGAATAATACTATTTCAGTTTTTCTACTTTAAAATCCCATGCTTAATTCAATGTGTTACTTGTAGTTTATTTATAATGGCTCAATTTCTTAGCAATTTCTGAGTGAAAATTGTTTCTACATCAGATTTGTTTTTGTGTAATATGGTGAAATAAATATTACATTTTCACATATAAACACTACAACAATTCCCTTTCAAGGGAACTTCGAACTGCGTCCTCAAGGGGTCGCTATGGGGAACGCCTCGTCATTACCCGTGTCTGAAGCATACATTGAAAAAACACCAACAACACGTTGGCCGGCAACAGCCCATGACATCACTACCAGTGCGATTATAGTATTAATAGGCGCCGGGAGATCATGTCATTCTCTTCTTCGTCTTCACTGACCGTTTTGTTTGAAGCGTGCATTTCCGTGGTAAGAGCGATCTATATTCCTATCGTTATGGCGAGCACTTTTGATTTTTACTTTACATTTATGTATAAGGCTTGCAACTTCGTTGAAACAATATCTGAACTCCATAACTGCTCTACTATTCTCGATCTCTACAGATTCTCGATCTCGAACAATCAAATCACCAAACGGCATTCTGGGTTGAGCAAGCGGCACTGAGTGTATTGAGCGAGCGGAGCGGAATCTTCAGAAAGGCGCTCTGAGCTCTTAAGGAAATATTACCACTCCGCTCCGCTCACATGCTCTGACTATGATACAGTTTTGACAATGCAAAAAGCAAGTTTATCAAAGAATATCATGGTATAACCATTAATTGTGTGTGTGTGTGTGTGTGTGTGTGTGTGTGTGTGTGTGTATATATATATATATATATATATA